GCAACTGGGAGTGGTCCCTGCGCACAGCGGATTATTGGCGCCATCACTTTGAGATTCCTCTAGTACATGGGCATCATCCTTTTCACAACGTCCCCATTGAGACCACTGCACCTACAGAGGCAACCCGCTTCACTCCGAAGATCCAAGAACTGGCCAAACAACTTTCAACCACTTTGACGGCTGCTATGGCATCTGGGGAAATCAACGACACGTGGAGGATGGTTGAAGGCATGAGCTTCCGTGACGCGATCCAAACACTTCAAGTTGAGGCGAATTTCCCTTCTGAGTGACTGAACGCGGCTATGTACATTAGCACCGGAAAGCCTTTTTGTATTTGATTGATCTTGCCGACCTTTGCAGCGATGTTCTTCCAAAAGAATCAAAACCCGCTACACGCGGGGTGTGTGTGTGTAACATCTGAACAGATGTAAAACTTCTATTGCTCTAACCTTTTCACATTTGCAGGGGGCCAGGAACCCATGACTGTCTGTCCTGGCCAACGAAGACCAGACAGCATGGGGGTGAAAACGTACCTGCGAGTTTTTGAACTGTTGATCAAGCTGTTACACTGCGTTGTTTCAAATCTACACGGTTGCCACAATCTGTATTGCCTGCATCAGAACCTTCCTCAGTTTTTCGCCGAAACCATGTCGCCGACGGTATTTCGATTTTTTGAATTATTTCGCCGAGATCATGTCGCCGATGTACCTTTGATTATTTTGGGAATCCATCGCCGAAACATTAATTTTGGGATTTTCAACATGCTGGTCAAACTTTGTGAATTCTGGTTTAAACTCCGTCGGACAATGTTGGATGCTCTACATCGTTTTCGAGAAGTACTTCAAGGGGCTCTACTGTAAATCTAACGATCTAGGCTGGTTTGCACGTTTCAGGATTCAGTTCCTGACGGATCATATAATGATCCATTCTTGTCTAGTGTGTGTGTGTGTGTCTGTGTTTGTGTCAAGTTCCGTAGTTTTGATCGTCCGCATGTTTCCACTGCTTGGTTGCCGCAGTTGCTTGGTTCTCAGACATATTCAGACGAGTTTGACCCATCCAACCCAAGAAGCCCTGTGTCTTACCAGTGTGGATTCAATTATTCAGCCCCCAAAACTGAACGGAACCCACAAAATGATATGAGCCACAAAACTCTGGAGCCCATGGTGTAGAAAAATCTTTGGCAAATCCTGAAAGGTAAGCCAGCAGTCAGCAGACATCCCCATAGGAAGCAATAGTCAATTTCTAGTGCGCGGGGATGGCTCCAACCAGAGGCCGGCGCAAGAAGGCGCTGGACAAATCCGGAGTTTGGAGGTCTTGCCTATTTGGTGGTTTGGATCCTTATGGCGAATTTCCCCTCTTAGTGGTGTTAGGGCCTTTGGAACTGGGGTCACGTTTTTGGCAATCGGAGGAAACCATGTCAACCTGATTTGAGAACCACAAAATTGTCATGGTGATGTACTGTAAGTGAATGCAAGATTCTGAGCTGTGTTTAGTTCATCCATGAGTCATGGTGTATGTTTGAACGTCAGGAGTATGACGTGGTTGTACAGGGCCAGTCAGCCGAGAAAGTGGCGTCGGAGATAGTGGGCTCCTCAGGATGCTTGTAAGTCTTGCGACGCGAACTTCCGGCATAACAACCAACCAAGTTCAAAAGCCATGGCGATATAAATTATATAATCAATGCAAATCACGAAGACAAGATATTGGACAACACTACTAATATGCAAAAGTCGTATATGGGGGGGTGCGTATATCATCATAAATCTTCCAACAACAGCATGGGGTAGTGATTCTGACCAATAAGAATAGAACATTGTCCCACACATGTGGTATGGTGAGCTACTGAACCACCAAGACTAGGACATGACTAGGACATAAACAAACACAGAAATTCCGGGATACCATGCACAAATTGACCCCGCCTACAATTTATGAAAGGCACTGACTGCCAACGTGCCGCTTCTCCGGGACTGAGGCGGCACACATCGCAGCCAAAGGATTCTGCACCATCGACCCTAGACTCGACGATGACCTTCTGCGGCAAGGTCGTGAGGACTGCATTGGTTTTGTGATTTTTGTGGCATCTCCCATTTTGCTGCTTGCAACGATGCATAATGATGCCATTGTTACCACAATGGTCCCATATGGCTTTGCTGGGTCCGATAGGCCATGATAGGCCCATAGGTAAAACTTTCTAAGGACCTAATGCATTGCAGGAGATCGGGGAGGCTGACGCCCGTGGAATCCTGAAGCAACCACCTGCCATGGCACCATCCCCAGCCTGAGGTGATGTGGTTTGGGTGAGTTCAACTGGAGAGATCAACTTCCAAACTGGATCAAAGTGCGCACAGATTCCCACTTCATTTGGATGTTTTGATGTTTTTTTGGCACTTGATGCGTTTGTTTCAGAGATAGTGCGCCCATCAGTCAACCGAAACTTGCCTTTTGATCCTCTTTGTTCTTTTTCTGGGGGTGAACTGGGGGTCTGTCTTGTGGGGTCCCCAAAATTGGGAATTGTTCAGAGTGAGCCAAGGTCCATGATGGCCTGCTTGGAGAAGAGGGGTCATCGATGATCCTGGACCTTTTTCAGGCACCTGCACAATGCAAGCAGAAAATGAGTGAATGGAAACGAAGCTACACAGTGTCAGCATGTGTCAGCCAGAAAGTCGTGAATTATTGACTTGAGTACAGTAAGACGTAGATAAAGTCAGACTGGAAAAAAAATCATTGGAAATAAACTGAAGTAAGCCTTGGTCGAGTGAAGTCATATGCATGGTGGAAACATGAGCCGCCTATGGCCCTTGACATTTGTCCATATTTGTCCGGTTGATTCCTGTCGCAGGAAGGGCTGTCAGATTCCAAACCCAGGGAGTTCAGGAACCTCCTTGCGTTGGACGAGTCGATGTCGGAGCTGGTCAATGTTTTACAGCCACCTGGGCGGCAGCTTTGGGTCGACACGGATCGGTGCCTGGTTTGGTGCGGGACATTGGTGGTTTCTGTAGGTGTTTGTGGCTTTGCGTTTCATCATGTTTCATGAGTTTTGCATAGTTTTGCGATGTGTCATGATTGTGTTCTTTTCTATATATATCTTTCTATTGGCTTCGGAAAATTCAAGAACTGGAAGTAGTGCATGTGGGTGAGGACCAAGCAAGTTTCAGCAAGAGACCATGCGCATCCATGCGCTTGAGGCTGTCCATCGGTCAACTGGGCTTTGGGTCGTTGAGTAAGACCCATGGCTTGCTGCATGAAACTGGCCTAGCTCCAGAGCATGCACCAGATCCCAGTGAGCATGAAGCAAGCATCTTGGCAGAAAAACGGCATGTATTTCATTTCATTGCAGTATATTTCAATATATTTCGATGGTTTCTCCATCTTGTATCATCTTTCTCATTCCGGCAGAATTTTCCACTTGTTTTGGTGTTTGCCTTGGCATGGTTCGGTCTTCAAACGTTTGTTGTATCACTGAGGCTATTGGCTAGGCATCTCGTCTGCTTTGGTGCCACCACAGAAGATCCTCCAAGTCCAACCAATGTGTTACACGTTTGAAACACGTTTGGAACACGTTTGGAACACGTTTCTCTCAGGAACCTTGGCGCAGAAGAAAATCATGATTCTCCTTTGCTTGGGTCCTGTCCGTGGCACCCTCGAGCTGCAACCCTATGACGAAGAAGCCGAAGCGTATGAAGTTCCGACCATCCCAGGACGCTGAAAGCATCTGAAAGCAACGTGGAACACAACGCTGAACGCAACGTACATAGCTAATATAGCTACCACATCTGACCTGGCGGGTAGTTTCAGTTTGTGTCCCAATGATTGGCTGCACAAATGTCCAAAAATACGCAGTTTTCATCAGTTTTCCATTTCCAAGAACGGGATGATGATCATCAATTGACTGGTACTGGATTGCAAGCACCATACGCAGTTTCCATTCAAATCGATTGCCAATGGGGTAATGTAATGATATGACACATGTTATTAACATGTTATTAACATGTGTTAACTATCCGAATGATTTGAATAGGGAGTCCATCACGAGCTGCGTCATGTGATCCCAGGGAGGTCCGACATCGTTCCAGGAAGTTTCATCATCCTGCGGGCAGATGCGATGTGGCACCGGCACTGTGCCCATTCCAAAGCACACATCCTTAGTTGTCGCTGAGACAGCACATGGATGGATATGGATGGAAGATGATGGAAGTTGTTCATGTTGTTCACGGAACAATGTACAATACTGGGCAGAAATAGCATGAAATAGCACAAGCACGTGCTTGGTTGAAGGATACTTTTTGGCCGGATGACGGTAGAGAGAGAGAGAGAGATTTAAAGTATACAAAAGATTGTGGAAAAGCACTCGAAAATGGGGGCTGACACAAAGGATCTCCATCATGAATGTGTGTCCCGTGGTTGATGTGAGGTTTCTTGGTAGGCCACGAGGGCCGGAAGACCGGGTCCAACTGGGTGCCGCCCTGCGCCAAAAGTCTGGAGCAATGGACAGTGGAACGAATGAGATATTTGAAAGAGAGCCAGGCAAAATCTCAGGAGACCTCTGTTTTGTTGATCTGGCCATGTTTGGCCACAGAATTTTGAACCGCTGCACACGGATTTCTGGTTGAATCGAACACCTCCTGCCCCAGGAGAAGTTGGATCTGCCTGCTGGATGGATCACGGCGATGAACCACATGTTCCACACCGCACAGCGGGTGGCGGTGCGATCAATGGCCGCCAGATATGCGGGCTCCTGGCAAGTTGAAAATTGGTAGCTTGGTGGTTTCAAAATGTTTCAACATGTTTCAAAGATATTGTCAGACTTTATAACTTTTTATATGAACCAAGCTTTGTGCCTACCAAGCTTTGTGCCTGGAAATCCTGTTTTCTTAAGGTGGGCCATTGTGAAGTACCCTGGTTTTCCGGCCTAACATTGATCATGGCATGGGATGCGATAACACGCATTCCTGTTAAGGATCCCTACATCCTGAGAGAAGATGTGAACCTTCAATTCACCCCCAAACAAGGGCCTAAGATCATCCAAGTCAAGTTGAACAGCGTATCTTTGGATTTCTTTGCTATTTTGGCGGAGGATTGCAGCAACCCCCGAAGGTACCTTTCACAACCCAGTGGTCCGGACTTGGTCATTGAAGTACCCCTGAGCCGATGGGATGTTGATCAATATTTTGATCCTGAAGCACCTCGGCCCATTGGCAGATCTCGGCATGGCTTCGGCATCTGTGGGTCATCTTTGAATCATGAGCTGGGTGTGTGTTTGTGCGATGTTCCCTGGCCCTGCTCCCGAGGAAACCCACTGGAGACAGGGAAAAACCATGGCCCGGCATGGTTCATTCGTGGATGGCACCGAGTATTTCGACAACAAATTCTTTGGCTTGTCACCTATGGAAGCGAAGGCTTATTGCATGCAGGGGAACGGCTATAGAAGATCAATCAAGCAGACAGATTTGTGAGGAACAAGGAGATGTATATATATATAAGAGTTTTGTTTGCCTCCCAGGATGTTGGGATTTTTGGAGATCAATATTTGCAAAAAAAAACATGCACTCCTCGATGTCTTTCTTTATCATGTTGGATTGGATTTCCTTCTCTTCTTCTGGGGAGAACGGGTGCATGTCCAGATTCCGCACGCAAGGGCTGAAAAGCCCTAGAAGAGTTGACTGCCACCCTTTGTTTGCAAACCCCAGCTGAGCAGTGCTCAAAACTCCTCGGGGGTCATGATCATACAGGCTTTCGTTCCAAGCTCCAAAGATAACATGCTATTAGCTGCTACATGCTGCTACTATAGCCCAATGATATCCAATGTTCGTTCTGATTCTCAACCAACCAAGTGAGTAGCACCTGCCGCTCGTCACTACTGCTCATCGGTTGCAGGGCATGGATCCTCACCAAAGAGTGGTGCTGGAAGTTGGCTACGAAGCGTGTCATCATGCGGGCTACAGCAAAGGAAAGCTCATGAACAAGATCGGTCCGGTCCCTATGCTGCCGCCTTGCAATGTCAGATGGGAAAATCATGGAACATCCATGAAAATCCATGCTTTGCTTTCCAACGCATCAAAAGATATCTAAAGTCCGTATCCGTCTGTGGTCTTTGCGGATTACCTCAGGTGGTGTTTATCTTGGTAGCAGCTCGTGTCTTTGCAGCACCTTGAGTCATTGCCAAGTAGTTGGTGCAAAATGGTGCAACATCAGCGTGGATACACCATGATTTACCCATCTTCTATCGACAAGGTGTTCCTAGCACAAACGGTCATACGATCATGTGACAGGAGTTCATTTTTTCAGTTGAATCACCGATTTTTTTTCTGTCAAGGACTGTTTTCGGCATGGTGTCAGAAGTGAGTGGCGCAACTGGCGGTGCAGCAAGTATCAACTCCAATCGATTTAGTTTCTGCTGCTTGGATCTTTTGAAATCATTTGAAATCTACATCTCAGCCATCAGCCAGGATTGTTCGAGGCGTGCATAGCACATCTTCAAGTTTAGCGCTTTTGGAGATGCGAGAATCTATGACTCAAACTACGGAGTCTCACTCGGAGCCTCAAGCACCAAACGTACTTGCTACACTTCTACACATGGAGGGGATACACCAAATTGGACCCATAATCATAGAGTCACGACGTGCCTTTAGGCAACCAAACCTCGGACAGGAAGTCCCCACCTTGCCGATGTTCTCCAGAAAAAGATAATTAATAAAGAAGGACAGTGCCTAGCCAACCGCAGTGCATGCTTGCCAATGTTTGCCAAAGGGTATAAGTTACAGCAATTACGGTGTGTGTATATATATATATAATATAATATAATAATATAATATATATACCCATGCATTGAGTTTGGCAGGCTTGGGTGTGCATGTATCATCTTTAAGTGTTTCAATGAATGCTACCATTTTGGCTCAAGTAATCTTGAACCAAAATAGCATTCATTGCTGTTTTCTTTCTTGGTCTTGGTAAGGGGTGACCTTTCCAGACCTTGATTGGGTGGTTCAAATCATATACAAGGGGCGACCTTGTATGCAGCGCAAACTCCCAGGAATCGATATCCCGGCAGCCACTGAGGCGAAGATCCTTCATGCTGCTGCTTTCCTGGAGTTCAAGAGCCACGTGGAAAGGCTGGCGCGGGAGGGCTCTGATGCTGCAGCATACACATGCTGGATGCATGGCATTGAAGTGTTGCATTCCCCCTACGTCATCACGACTGGGACAGATTCAGAGCTTTCCCCCCCCTGCCGAAGCTACCCTGTTGCCTTGATGACTGCCAGCGTTGCGCAGCTCATGTGGGGGGGTTCAAGTTCCCGTGGCTCGGCTTGTGGAACAGCCGTGGCGTTGTGCTGCCCGATGATGTGGCGACCGCGGATGCTTGGGCGTACTACTACCAGCACCAGGACCCCATGGACCTGCTGCTGGTCGCTGCCTATACGAAGCACAAAGTGGCCGCTGACATCGTGCCCCAGGATCTCTACGGGTTGCAGCTCAGGTGCTCAGCGGGCGACGCTGGGCAACTGGGCTTGGGGGAGCTGTTCGATCAATGGAGGAGCTGGCTCAGATGCACAGGCCCTCACGAGCTCCTACCGGTCTTCCTCGAGCCGCGGCATTTCCCCAGAGCACCTAGGGGGCGACCCTGGGTGGCCTGGGGGAGAGAAGGCGCCAGGGCACATCGAGCGCTATGTGGATGGCTGGAATGCCAGGATGCAGGCATGCTTCAGCTGGGCACCGCCTGCACAGAGTGCGGAGATCCCACCAGGCGCGTGTGCTGGGCATGCTGCGTCGGGATGTGTAGTGACTGCTTCACCTGGCGTGAGCCATGCAGCACTTGTGGAGGACGTAAGAAGATGTTTGCTGCAGGTTGATTTTATGACAGAGGAGGCACCTCTGAAGTCACCGCAGCATCTTTTTGCTCTCCGCACCTTAGCAATCTTGTTAGGGTGCAGCGCCATGGCATCAGGCGGCAAAGGCTACTACGCAGCTCAAGCGGCAGCTTCGTCCTCGTCAGGGGGTGACCCTGAACCGGGATGGAGAGCAGCCGACTCCTTGATGATGATAGCTGCACAGCGTGCGCGTCAATGGAGGGAGAACGAAGGCCTCCTGGACGACAACGACTTCGCCTATGCCTACACCGACTACGATCAAGTCGTTGGACTAGCTGGCCATCACGTAGCAGATGACTGGCTGCAGACAAGAGCAAGGGTGGAAGAGCACCTCCTTGCTGCTGGGGCCAAAGTCGTGGAGGACAACCCCAAGGGTTCCGTCACTCTGCGCCCTGTGCGCAAGACAATCTACAAGAAAAAGCCCAAGGCCGTCAACGTCACCAAGAACCTGGATGAGGCCGTCCAAAAGCGGGTGAACGGCTTGGTGTCGATGTTTGTCGGAATGGGCGCATACAAACCAGCTGGCATCTTGACAGACACCCTCAAGGCCGAATGGAAACAAACATGCAAGAGGATCGCCGAGAAGAAGGTGAAGGACGCGGAGAAGGCGACCATTGACCGAGTGGTCAACACCTGGTTGGAGCTGAGGGCCTTCTTGGAGAGTCGGGGGCGACCCGCTCCTCCTGGAATGGTCGACCTGGATCAGTTCCTTAACCATACTCAGGCGCCAGCACGAGCACTCCAAGCCTTGAAATGGATGAACAAGAATGCCGACCAAGACATGGAGCTGGGGAACTTGCAAGTGCCTACAACACCCAGGGCGACTGGGCAGCGTGGGCAAGCACCGGTGGTGGAGCCGCCATTAGTGCAGGCCTTGGAGGACCGCATCACTGAGTTGCACGCGGTCGGCGATGAGAGGTGGTCAGTTCTTCTGGCTCCTTGGATCATGTCGTTTGGCTGTTTGAGGTATGCGCACATCGCGCGGTCAGAACCTCGGCGCCTCACCGCTGCATTCCTCCATTGCAGGTGCCCTAAGGGAAAACAAAAGCATGCCCGCGAAGGTTTCGACTTTGCGGTGCCGGCCACATTCGCCAACGGCTTCTTTTGGGCCAAGGAAGTGCTGGAGGCATACAGGACGCTGGCACCAGCAAGGCAGAGACTTGCAGGCCTTTGTTTTTCGGACGAAGGGCGCCCATGGACGATCCTAGAAGTGCAAGAGACGATGCAACAGGAAATGTCCGTGTTCCTCGACAATCCAGAAGATCTGACCACCTACAGCTGGAGGAGGCTTGCACCCACGGTGGCCCAGTTGTTAGGATGCAGGCCTGAAGAAATGGCAGCCCTGGGCGACTGGCAAAACAAGAGTGAGCAACCAGAGGTGGGGGCGATGGCATTTCACTATTCTTCGGCAAAATACGCCGCGTCGGTCAAGGTGAAATCCCTGATCTGGGGCGCTACGGCCAAGCTCGCTAGCAACCTGCTGTGGGAGGCGATCCCGCAGGCAGAGCTAGATGCAGCCAAAGCTCATGGCCTTACTGAAGCTGACAGGTTGCTGCGACAAGACCGCCAACCTATTTGGGCCTCTGCACATAGCTTCCAGGACGTGAGGAAGAGGCTCAAGTTGTCACAGCAGTTTGTTGAAGCGGCACAGCAAGCCCGGCAAGAGGCCGTAGCCGCACCGGCACCTCAGATGCCTGATCAACTCAATGGCAAGGTGCTGACGGCCACTTTGAAGAATGGTAAGGCCATTTGCCCGGAGTTCCAGACGGACGAGTGCCCGAATCCGGCAGACTCCTGCCCCTTCGGAGTGCACTTGTGTGCCATTCTACAAAAGTCAGGACGGGCATGTGGTGGCAAGCACGGTGCAGGCGTCTGCAACATCAAGCGGGCGGTGTTGGCCGCAACAGCAGTGCCAGCGGCACCCAAGCCATCGGCCACCTTGGTGCCGGCAGCCGTGGGGGAGAAGGCCACTTTTGGCCGGAAGAGGACCGCGGCGAGCGGTGCCACTGACGACGAGATGGCCGAGGTGATGCGCGCAGCTGTCAAGAAAGCCCGAGGTCAGGCTGCACCCAAGACTCCGCCCAAGGCGCCAGCCATTGCAGCCCCCAAGACACCTCCGAAGGCTGCAGCCACTACACCTAAGCCACCGGCCACAGCTGCGAAGTCCAGGGCTACAACCACAACGCCGAAGCGCTTGGCCGCTCCTGGGAAGCCACAGATCAAGGCCATGCCAAAGAAAGGCCATGGCAAGGCAGCAGGAGACACCTTGGACCTCCACTTGGAGCCATTATTTGTGGGCTCAGGGACAGCCCAGGCCCCGACTTGCATCTGGACATCCCGGAAGGGTGGTGGCATCTACCTGGCAGGACTTCCAATGAGGCAGACGGTGGACAAGTTCCCCAAGACAGCGTTGCAGATCTGCTGCTTCCCGAATGGTCCTGAGAGCCGGGGGGGGGTGACCCTCCCGGGAGCTCAGTTGATGACCTTCGCGGCGGCATACAGCCAGGAACGCAACGAACAGTGGACAGACGTGTGGCCGGCCGTCAAGAACACTGTTTGGCACGGCGACAACGTCGTGGTGCACTGCATCAAGGGGCGACACCGGGGTGCTTTCTTAGGCATCCTCTGCCGTGCATTGCTGGCCGGCGAGTCCATTGAGGATGCCAACCACTACGTGGAGAGCCGCAGGGATACAGAGCTGAACAAGGTCATTCGCGACCAAGGCATGCGGAAGTGGCTGCACAAGACCTTCCAGGACACCGCGGTGGGAACACAGCACCCCGAGCCGCAGGGATATGCAGCTACGGAGAGGTCCAGCACCCATGTCACGGTCGAGGACGGCATCACCTTGTGCCAGCACAAGCAGGCCGATGGGAAGGCGAAGCGCCTGGTGAACCCATACATGTCCACGGACGTCTTTGAAGCTCTGGCATGGGAGCGCCCCTGGTGTGACCAGTGCCTCCGTCGAGCGCCAGCGTCATGGTGGCCGCCTGCCTAAGATGCCCAAGCCGAATTTTTGGCCTTTGCGCTGATCAGCAGCACTGGCCCGTTCCGGCCATGGAGAGCCGAATTCATCAGCTCGGGGCTTGGATAAGAGCTTCAATCCAGCCTGCATGACCGCCCCCAGCAGTAACATCATGCGCGAGAGGAAAATAGTAGAGCCAGGTGACTTTCAGTAGGGTGCCCACTGAGCAAGTGCCGTGCCCTCATGTCCTTTCGTTGTGTTTTTCAAGTTTTTCCTTTCATGACAACGCACAAGACCATCTGGGAGGGGGACCTCAGATAGTCTAGTGTACCATAGCTCTGTGGCGGCATGAAGGTGATGTCATGTGAGGTCGCAACATAGCTGTGCGTTGTACACATGTCCAGATTTCACATCAGTGTATGTCAGGGTCCATTTATTTCATGCCACGCCAGGCTGTTCCAGCACAACGCACGGGGGAGACCCGAGGCGCAGTTTTCAGTCAAAGGGAGGGGATCCCTGGGCCTTAGCTAGAGGGGTGTCCTCGAGAATAGGCCATGGAGACT